TATCATTTTATTTTTCTCTCCCGCCCTGCTATCTCCAGCCTTGACCTTTCAATCGTGGCACTCCTCACCATCCACCTGCGTGATTGGTCCTTTGGCGGCCGCGGGAGCCACACAACTCTCCATCTGTCCACCGGGAACCCCTCGGACGGCGGTTTTGGGCGGTGCTCCTGGCAATGTCTCCTCGTCATCTGCATCCGAAACTTTCTTCTTCTGTCCACATAGCTCTTACTGTTGCTTCAAAGCTCGTTGCCGGCAGGGCCTACGCGTTCATCTCAGGCGTGTTCATCCGGTCGTCTCGGATTCGGATGTCTATGCTTGTCACCTATGCCAATTTCGAACACAGAGAAGTACGTTCTACCTTGTTGTCTTTTTCTATTGTTTCGCCTTTTTTTGCCTAGCACCTCATGACTGTTTCATTCAACTCTCTGCCTCCAATTTTTACTGTGACTTTTGTGCTCGCGGACTGTACCTGTTTATGCGAACTGCCAAACCCACTATCTTCGTCATCTACGGGGACTGAATGCGCCGAAGTTCAAAACATCCTCCCCATATTATGATTGACTATACTCGACGAGATTTTAGATGGAATCCCACCTCGCTGTTTCCGTATAGACAGCAACACTGATTTCATAAGACAGCCAATGAAGCTCACACCGAAACCACCTCAGTGATTTTTATTGGATGAGCTGAGATATCTACGCGATTGCGCGACAAGTTCAGACGGTCGTATTCGAAAAGAAGTTGGCTCACGGGCTTCTCTGGCGACGGTGGAAAACTTTTATATTCTTTTGCCCTCTTCCACGCTCCAGCACTCACAAGTGTCTTGGAGGACTATTTGGACGAATGCCTAGGTACACGCGGAGCTTTGTGACGATATAGCTATCAGAACGAACCCAATGACAGCTTCTAAGGTTTAGGAAAAAGTTCGGCGGCGAGCATCTTTGCCGACGACGATTCAGTCCTTACTCGGCCCACCAATTTTAAAGTTCAGTGAGGTTGCCTTCTCCTGATCAGAAATGCAGGACAAGAACTCTATTCTCAATAGTGTTTGCGTACCAACTGATTAATTCATCAACCGTTATCCACCTGTAATTGTACTTTCTGTAGGTCATCATAACTTGGCTTTAGTAGACTGATATCGTTAGTGTAGTTGAGGTAGACCAGCCGGCATTTGGATGCAAATTCGACACCGTCGAAGACCCATAGGATATCTAAGAGTCGAGTAAGTTGTGTAGTTGACAGCTCATCAACGATCCCAAATTCACCAATGTTCGCTAACCGTATATTGCCGTTGACCTTGGACTTTTTCGTCGGCTAAAACAGTGTTGGCATTATACAATATAAATAGACGTAGTAGAGATGTCCTTTTTTTCTAGTTATAATCACGTCAGAGATATAACGTTTTTACGTAACCAATTTTGAATGGCTAGAGCCGTTTTGGACTTCCTCCACCCAGAAATAGCGTATGGTGGTAGATGCTCACGCGTGATGGCGATCCCTTATCAAAGAGACTTTTTTTAAAGTCCACCAAAAACCCCAAAGAAGTCTATATTTGGCATATCTTAGCACGCTTATGATGTTCGCAGAAGTGCTAAGAGGAGACTACATGCTCTATCTAACTCAGTAGAACTTTGTTTCCTAGTACTTGTCGAGGTTTATGGTTTATACTCGAAATCAATCTAAATAAATCTAGTGACGACTTGGTTTGCTTTAACTTCCTCTCCCCCTTTTCTTCCTATATACTGATTTAATGCAGTGTATTTCAGCTGATCTTTATTTTCCAGTGAACCATGACCCTTGCTGTCATACATTGACATTCTGTGAAAATTCAAATTGCTGTCTGCTTCTATTCGTTATCTCACTCATGCAAAGACGGGATGTAGTTGAAAAGCCATCGCAAAGTTTGTTAAATTCAATAAATCCTGCTGTATGCGCTGGTTTTAAGTTAGGACGGGGAACAAATGCTTCAAATATAAAAAAGATATTTTGAGAAATAGAAGACGACTTGATCGCTGGGACAATATGTTTATTCGCCTGACGTTTCGAAATCTGTCGCGGATTCATCATCAGAGACATACTCACAGAACAGTAGCAGAAACAGTTTTTGTGTGCACGGGGTTTTACCGTAAAATTTAAACGTATAGAAAAATCAATAAATGCCTTGAGTGTGCGCTGATTCGTTGCATCAGCAATGACCATCTGGCCCTGCGGTGTTGGCATAGGATGATGTGGTGGCCTGTGTGTTCCCCGAGCGGCGACTTGCTTTGGTCAAATTTAGCCTCAGCACCGAATATGGATTGGGCAAGTCGTTGCACTTGTTGATGGATTGGGGGCCCGTGAACCATGACTCAAGTAGTTGACTCGTCGATTGTCACCTCTTGCGAGAATTTCAGTCTCATCAAATTGTATGTGTGGCCGGGTCTCGTCGAATGAGCCACAACCTGAGAATTGGCATCATTACGCAACGAATCAGCGCACACTCAAGGCATTTATCGATTTCTCTGTACGTTTTAATTCTACGGCAAAATCCTGTGCACACACTCAAACTGTTTCTGCTACTGTTCTGTGAGTACGTCCCTGCTGATGAATCTGCGACACATTTCGAAACGTCAGGCGAATAAACATATTCTCCCAGCGATCGAGTCGTCTTCTACTTCCCAATTACTTCCTGTGACTCGCACGTTCGCTTGCATTAGCAAAAAGATATTTTCTCTGCAGCTCAAACTCTTTTCTGTGGACTTAAAGACTGATCAGTGCGTGGCCATAATTAACGGCACTGGTCCAAATACAATTGCTATTCATATGGCGGTATTTAAAACGCAAAATTACAGAGTGCGTCACAAATGCACTTTGCCAGCGAAACAATTGAAGGCAGTCCTATCTCCTGACTTGTTTTTGTCATCCCCACAGCAGAAGATGGTCATTAAAAGCTTATTGGCTTTCATGGTCAGTGTACAGTAGTCGCCGAAGATCACACAACATGCCGACATATGCGAAAGATTGATGCTACTTCGCTAATCGGCATTGACTCAAGTTGTGATATTGAGTATCCTGTAGTCTATTCTGAAGTGATTTCAGTCGTGATAGGATGCGGGCTTTTTAAC